CAATTCACGTGGTGAAATACCATTTGAGGTTAAACTATTCAAGAAATCTTCTTGTAAGCTCTGTTCAGATTTATCGATTGCTTTATCAAAGTTATAGTACGTAAAAATTTGACCAGGAATTTGTTCCAATAAAATCTTGTTAATATGATCAACACATTCATTTCTAAGCGTAAGAATAACTCGATTTGCCATAGTATGTTAATTGTCAGCATATGCTTCTATATTTGGAAAGACGTGACGAATCGAAGTTTTAAAAGATGTTATTTCGTCCTCAGATGGTACATCATATTGTTTGAAAGCTGAATGCAATTGCAAGTATGTTGTCGCTCTGTCCCGTTTCCAATTCTTAACAATTAATCACAGAAAGTGGGATCAAACTTCGCACTCATATTTTCAACTAATGGCAAATGTAATAATAGGGGCCATAGGTCAGAGAAGACTAAGACCATGTCTGGGTGCACTTTATTGCCAAAATTAAGTAATTTTCTGACCGTTGATACGTCCAACGGCCACATTTCCACCTTCTACTAATATGGGAATCAAATAGACTGACACCCATGTCGGTTGGTTTTTCCCCTTTCTACCCCACAATTAACACGCCAAACCAACCCTCATTTCTTTGTCTTCTGCGAAATCAAAAAGAAAGAGACGCTCAGTTTCCACTCCTCCACTGGACGAAGTTGCCGACACCACTCTTCCACTAGACGAAGCTGTCGACACCACTCCTCCACTGGACGAAGCTGCCAACACTACTTGCTCTCCGACAACAGCAATATCTGTTACATTTGTTGTCCGATGGTGAGAAAATAATCTTTCGATAGTTGGAAACAGTTTCTGTAACAACCCGGTCGCCCCTACCCTACTCTGACGACTATAGCAGCGGGTTGATGGCGTCCCTACCAAGAACTTCAACCCAATATGCCTTGATGACGTTCGCCTTCTTCGGCCACCGATACAAGTGACTCCACTGTCACAACCGATGTCCCCGTAGATTCCCATTCCTGTGCGACATCGTAGGTAAGCATCTGTGTCTTCGATCTCTACTCGTTCTCCTTGAACGTTTCTCACTCATCACCAATCTATACATTTCTTTAGACTATTTGATTCACAAGGGCCTGACATAAAAAAATTACATTTGCACTTGAAGTTGAACTACAAAAGGCGCTCCCAGTTTCTCCAGCACACACAGGTCGTGTAACTTGTTGGAATAGAATCTGCTTACCGAGAGAGAACCACCATGGATCTCGTCGTTTTCCCGGTACGGTAGAGTGCCTCCAACATGTTCTTCATTTTTGTGTTGAATGTAAATTGCCATAAATGGTTGCTTTTGCTGATGGAGACTAACATTTTTTCCTCCCAATTTGCAGCAGCCAAATTACAACCCACATCCGAACTCCTCCACATCAAACGCCCATCATGTTGACAGTGAATCGGGGCCTCGTAAGCATGCACAATAGACTGACTATGAGACGCAAATTTTTATCGCCGCCTGTGAGACCGTAATCGCCGATGGACACCGAAATGGGAAGTGCCTCACCAAATACGGATGGCAGACATTGGTTCACTTATTTAACACCAACTCCGGGCACAATTGGAGCAAGCAGCAGCTGAGAAATCGATGGGATGCACTCCGCTTGAAACACGAGATATTTGAAGAATTGATCAACAGCAGTGGCATTGCGTACGACATGTTCACTGGCTTGATCAGGGCCTCGGCGGAGTGGTGAGATCGAAAGGTGAAGGTACCATCATATACTCATCAATAATAGCTAGTATCAGAACAAATTGAGTTATTGATATCCAAATTTGAGAGACCTCATTGATTCCTGGTGTTCTTGAAGGATTATTTTTCATGAAAAATTGCCCAAGTTTAATACAATTTTTTAGGAAATGAACCAAAAAAATGAATGCAAGTGCCTGCATATTGAAAATAAAAAATTCAGGCAACAATCATTAACCACAACCTTTTTTTTGTTCCAGCAAAAAATAAGAATACAAAAAAAAAAATGTTAGAACAAATCAACAGATCCATACATATATAAAACTAAAATGATATGTTTTGAGAATTTCAAATTCAGAAGTATAACTGCAAAAAGAAAATTAGTGTTTATGTTTTGTTAAGTTGATGGGAAATGCATTTTTTTTTAGTTCCATCCAAATGACTATGAGTTTCTTAGAATTAAAGTTTGTATTCAGTAGTAACTTTGGGTTGCCCAAGTATGCGGAGATACTGTTAGTTACATAGGATGAAATTAATGAGTTACAAATAAGAGTGATGGTTGGCAGTTAATAAAATCTGCTACTTACGTCTTTATCTCTAAACTTGTACAAACTTGTTTAAAAAATGGTGCTAAAACAGGGATTCTTCTTTTTGATTAACCATTCTCCACTTTCTACATCCTCATGCTATAAGAAGGTAGACCAGTTTCCGTTCTGTTGAAATTCTAGGACAAATTGATTTTTCACGTTGCATAATGAGTTAATTATTTTGGGCACTTAGCTTTAGGGAAAATTTAGGTTATCCAAAATTGGCTCTCGTTTTTTAAGCATTACTGGCTTTTTTTTTTTTTTTTTTTTGCTGAAAAATAATCGAAACATACACGCCTAATTTGGAAAAGAGAGTAAGAATAAATTGTATGGTATTTTGGTAAGTGTCACATATATGCCTAATTGTCTTCACTTCTAATGGACTGGGTACTTCAGCTACTAAACAATTTTGTTTTTACAGTTATAACTGCAAAATGCACTTCACATTAACATCAAGTGTTATTGTA